CCCTCAGAGACACCTGCTGTCGCGGAGGAGAAGTGTCCAAACGAACCCAGGCCAGCAAGGCGTGAGGGTGTGTCAGCCCCAGGAATGGGCCGAACCGGCGCAGGCCAGCCGCCCACGCTGCCGAGGGCGGCCCGGCTGAGTGCGCAGCTGCCCGGAGCGCGGCCGTCAGGCGGCGGGTGCGCCGGCACTGGGCTCCCAGCTCGCGTCTCAGCCCTGCCTTGCCGTCATTAGCTGGCCTCCCCCGGCCCCAGTGTCGTCCTCTGCAGGATGCAGGGAACCAGACTCCCCGTCTCACAGGTGTGAGGATGATCAAGCGCCAGCCAGACGCCGTGGGGCGTTGGCAAAGGCACCCACCTCCTCGGGGTGGGGTTCTGAGGTGGAGCTTGCAGACTGCTCTGTAAACTCTAAAGACCAGGCAGCACACGTGTCAGGCTTTGGGTCCGTGTGGCAGCTGCTCAGCTCTGTCATAAAGCGTGACGGCAGCCACAGTGTGTAAACAACGAGCCTGCCCAGGTTCCAATAAAACTTTATTTACAGCAACAGACAGGGGGCTGCATTCACCAGATTTGCTGACACCTGGTCTACGGCCACCAGAAGAGAGAGCACGGGAGCTGGGACAGGCAGCAGCAGAGCTGTCATCACCCAAAGGGACAGGGGTGGGAATGGTTACTGGGGCCAGGAACGGTCACGTAGAGTCCACTTCCCTGGGAGGGACATGGCTGATTCGGGCCTGCAGGGAGAAGACCACGGTGTGAGCGCCCTGACCTCTCGCCTCCCTCTCGTCTCCTGCTGGGGTCCCACTGGCTGCGCTCAGCCGGAGGCCAGAGGCGGGGAGCCTGGTAGTAGTCCACGGCGCTCAGCCTCCTGGAGATTGAGCAGGGTGGACTCTGGGGGCAGCGGAGACACCCAGCATGATGGGCTTAGAACAGTGCGTGCCCAGGCCGATCCTCGCTCAGAACCAAACTGCCTCCCTCTTCAGCTCCACACCCAGTACTCAGTCTCCCAGACTGCTGCCCACGTCACCTGCTCCTGAATGACCTCAGTGAATTCTCCCAGCAATGTCATGAGATCAAGGCAGTGGATCCTCACAGCATCCACGTGAAGTGGGAATGATGGACAGTTCATAGCCAAGGACACTGAAATTTAGAAGAGGGAGGTCATCGCCCAGTGTCTCACAGCGAATCAGCAGTGGCGGTGGGCTTTGTACCCAGCTTCGCAGCCCATATATGTGGCCCTTGCATCAGCCCGTGCAGGACTTGGGTAAAAATTCGGGCACTTTTCCCAACTGGTTTACCCCTTTCTCCTCTCCAGCCTCCGCCCCCTCCCCTCGAGCCCTGCCTTTGGACTACTGAGCCTGCAGCCCACCGGTTTGGCTTCCAGGGGTCCCTGCCTCTGTCCTGTGACCCTGTCTGGCCCAGTGATGCAACAGCCCCAGCTAGCCTTGCAGTTGAAATGTTCTGAAATGTACAGTAGACCAAGCCATCTGCTTCCTCCAAACATTGCCTTCTGCCTCTGCTGGGACCCAGAGCAAACGTGCAGGGACAGCAAAGCAACAGTCACTTTATTTCTGGCTTCAGGATTTCTAACTGGCCTGGATTGCTCAATGCGCACTTCAGACAGGAGCAGGGGGTCAGAGGAAGGGCTTCTGCAGAAGCTGCAGGAAGCGAACTCCTGAGGGGAGAGAGAACCTCCATCTGTTAAATGCACTGTGATTTGCCCCCCAAAACTTCACGAAAACAGGCAGAGCCCCTCCCTCTTGTGTTTCTCTGAGACAGTTTTATTTTCAAGATTCTTTGTTCTTTTTAACACTCTGGTCCTCATAATGGAATACCGAGGTCAGGGAAGGGGTGACTGTATGTACCGGACACTCCGTGTGCACGTGTAACCTGTAAACAGCCAGGAACCGTGCGGCTTAGTCTCAGAAATGCCCCTCTTTTTTGAAGTTTTTTTAAATGAAGTACAGTCGGTTTACAATGCTGTGTTCGTTTCTGGTGTGCACTGCGATGTTTGTGTCATACTTATAAATACATGCATTTATTTTCATATTATTTTTTATTAAAGGTTATTACAAGAGATTGAATATAGTTCCCTGTGCTGCACGGTGTAAACTTGTAGTCTACCTATTTTATATATATTACATATTATCTGCAAATCTCAAACTCCTAATTTCTCTCTTCCCACCCCCTTTCCCTCTTGGTAACTGTAAGTCTGTTTTTTATGACTGTGAGTCTGTTTCTCTTTTATGAACAAGTTCATTTGTATCATTTTTTTAGATTTAACATATGAGTGATAATATATGGTATTTTCCTTTCTCTTTCTGGCTTGCTTCACTTAGAATGATGATCTCTAGGTCCATGCATGTTGCTGCACATGGCATTATTTTGTTTTTTATGGCTGAGTAGTATTCCATTATATAAATATACCACAGTTCTTTATCCAGTCATTTGTTGATGGACATTTAAGTTGCTTCCATGTCTCAGCTATTGTATATAGTGCTGCTGTGACCACTGGGGTGCAGGTGTCTTTTTGAATTAAGGTTCCCTCTGGATATACACCCAGGAGTGGGATTGCTGGATCATAGCCTAAGTCTATTTTCAGTTTTTTGAGGAAAGTCCATACTGTCTTCAGTAATGGCTGCACTGAACGACATTGCCACCAGCAGTGTGGGAGGGCTCCCTTCTCTGCACTGCCTCTCCAGCATTTATGATTCGTGGACTTTGAATGATGGCCATCCTGACTGGTGTGAGGTGAAACCTCATTATAGTTTGGATTTGCATTTCTCTGGTAATTAGTGATACTGAGCATGTGTGTGTCTTCCTTGGAGAATTGCTTGTTTAGGTCTTCCGCCCAATTCTGGACTGGGTGGTTCGCTTTGTGTTATTAAGTTGTATGAACTATTTATATATTCTGGAAATTAAGCCTCTGTCAGTCACATCATCTGCAAATATTTTCTCCCATTCCAAAGGCTGTCGTTTTCTTTTGCCTATGGTTTTGTTTGTTTGTTTGTTTGTTGTTGTTTTGCTGTGCAATAGCTTACAGGTTAAGTCCCATTTGTGTATTTTTGCTCTTACTTCTGTTGCCTCAGTAGACTGCCCTAGGAGAACATTGCAAAGATTTGTGTCATAAAATCTTTTGCCTGTGTTATCTCCTAGGAGTTTTATTGTGTCTTGTCTTATATTTAAGTCTTTAAGCCATTTTGAGTTTACTTTTGTGTATGGCGTGAGGGAGTGTTCCAACTTCATTGATTTACATGCAGATGTCCAGTTTTCCCAACACCACGTGCTGAAGAGACTGTCTTTTCTCCATTGCATATTCTTGCCTCCTTTGGTGAAGATTAATTGACCATAGGTCTATGGGTTTACTTCTGGGCTCTCTGTTCTGTTGCAATGATCCATTTGTCTGGTTTTATGCCAGCCCCACAGCATTTTGATTTTGTGCCTCTGTGCTATTGCGGGGAGTCCAGGAGTGATATGCCTCCAGCTTTGTTCTTTTTCTTCTTTGTTGCTTTTGCAGTTCTGAGTCTTTTGTGGTTCCATAGAAATTTTAGGTATTTGTTCTAGTTCTGTGAAAATGTCCTGGATAATTTGATAGGGATCACATTAAATCTGTAGGTTGCTTTGGGTGGCACGGCCGTGTTTGGAATACTAATTCTTCAATCCTGGAGCATCAGGTATCTTTCCTTTCTTTAAATCACCTTTAATTTTCTTAATCAATGTTTTATAATTCTTCGTGGAATTCTTCGTGGAATACTTACTCCACCTCCTTAGCAAGGTTTATTCCTAAGTACTTAATTATTTTTGATGCAATTTTAAAAGGGATTTTTTTAAATTTCCTTTTTGTGATAAGTGACCATCACTCAGAAAGCAATTGTTGAAATATCTTAATTTTGTTAACGATGTTTTTAAAATACAAAGAGTGAAGGCTGCTTGTTTTCTGGAATGTCTCATGAGATCCGTTCCCACAATACAAGATCCCAGAAGCTAACTGTGCAGAGGAGGGTCAGCACCTCAAAACTTAGTTCACATCTAGGACCCTAGTGGCATTTTCTAGAACCCCAGTTAGACTGAAGCAGCTTGTCCCTGATTCTTTCCCGTGCAGACGAAAGCCCTCCTCAGCCCCCTGCTCTCCCTCTGAGGTGGCTGCGAGACCTCGAGCGGGGAGGATTGTCAGCTGTCTGCAGAAGGGTCTTGAAGTCTAGGGGGAAGCAGACTTCGTCACGTGTCCACATTTGGCCCTGATCCACAGGACACAAATGGACTTGCTTGTAAACACAATTCCTAGCTGCCGCGTGTGGGAATGAATGTGACTCACTTCCAAGAAACCAGCGATTCACCCGCCTGCTGCGTTTCCTCGGGCTGTCAGCCAGCCAGGGAGCTTAATCAGTGCGGCACGAGCTTATCCGAAGGCCTCTCAGACCGAGCTGTCCCCCCAGGACACAAAGGGCAGCAGACCTGTGCCTTAGTCTCTTCGCCTGCAAGCGGCGTAAGAATGGTCCCTGGCCGGGTCTCCGCCTCCCTGCAGTCGGTCAGTCTGTCCTGGGTGGTCCAGGGGGCGCATCCCATGAAGCCATCCCCTTGACCCTTTCAGACCAGGCCCCTGGCGTCCCCGCTGTATCCCTGAAGCCCAGCACATGTGCGTGCGTGGAAGGAGACACTCCCCTGTCATGGGCAGCCCTCCCACGGGGCTCTTCCAGCAGCTTCCAGGGGCTGAGCGCCAGCCTCCTGCTTTCTCCCTCCAGCTGGCTCACAGAAACCCAAACGTGATCTTAAAACCCCTCAGGTTTTGTAAAAACAAGATGTGCCCCCACATTTTCTCCAAAGAATTCTGTATGATCTGCAAGTCTCCATACCTTTCTGCTTTTGTTCTGGGAATGGGTAGAAAAAGAGCCAAAAACCCTTCCAGGCGCGGCGCAGCATCGTTTAGCATTTCCCTCTTTAAAGAACCTAGAAGCTGCTGAAAATAAGATACTTGACAGTGACTTAAAAAAAAAAAGGCACACATCAGCTTTAGAAAAGCATTTTATTTTAATAAAAGAGTAAAAGAGATCAATAAACATCTATAATGGATACAAAAAATAAATATTCACTCAGCATATTAACGATGTGCGCTTCACGTGGATTTGAGCCACACACTAAAGCCCACTGTTACCGGGCAAAACCCCAGAAACGGGTACGTCATCCTTGACGTAATGCTGGCCTTGCTGGCTCAAGAGCAAGTCACTTTTACTGGCATTATCATATTCTCATGTGAATTCAAACACAGCTGAAGAACGCACAGGGCTGAGCCTTGCTGCAGCCGCACCTCCAGCCCCTCTGCAGGAGTGGCAGTGGGAAGGATAAACGGGCATTCTTTATTCTTTGGCTTTTCGGATTTTAAATCAGGAACTCTTACAGCTACAAGGCCACCATGTTGGCTGAGCTGGGGCAACCCCCTCCCCCAAACCCCACCTCCTCCCACTTCTCCAAATGAGGGCTGACTGCGAGATTCTGGGCCAGGGCTGGCATTGAACCAGGCTGGGAGAAAAAGGAGAGAAAAAATTCTCTCCAGCCGAGGCGAGGGAGAAGCAGACAGACCCTCACCAACCCACCCGGAGTCTACACCGACTGTGGCACTGACTCGGCCTAATCCACAGACTGCGAGGAGCGGGGAGCCTGCAGGCCCTCAGCCCTCGCCTGCCCCGGGGCGTCGCACAGACCGACAAGAGGCCCCGATCTAGCAGGTAAGACATTTTGTTTTTCAGAGAAGAATGTCCTGGTGCTTTTTAACCGTGCAAGTTACAACGTGTGTTACACCGCACGTCGGAAGGCCAGTGGGGTGACGCGACCTGGCTAGCCGAGCCGCTGTTGCAGGCTTCTGCCCAGCTTTTGATTAGTTCCATGATTTAGGGTAAACATCTGGACACATCTTTGGGTAGTAGTTGCATCTTACTTGCTGCTAAATAGGGTAGGTTCTTCCAGGGCTGAAACTGGGACGTCCACTGGAATCCCAGCATCCCACTCTGAAGGGTGGGAGCCGGTGCGCCCCAGGGCGCGCTACGGCCGGGGCCCAGTGAGCGGGGAGAGGACGGCGCAGTGTGGCCAGGCTGCTGGGGCCGCGCCCGAGGTGCCCACCACTGGCCCGGGAAGGGGCTGACTGACTCTAAGGCACAATCAACATGCTTGTACAATCTGCAATTATTTTCTGAGCTTGTGGTCTATATATGGCCCACTTTATCAAAAAAAAAGGTTTTTTTAAGCAGTTTACAACAGGACAATTAACTTAAAATAGGTCAGTTAAAAGTACAAATTTTTTAAAACCGGTCGAAATCATTTAGAAGAGAGGGAAAGGTATCTGGGGATGATTTAATTACAGAAATGAAAACATAAATTTAGCTCTCAGCTTCCTTAAGGCGAAAGGAAAAGCTTTCCCTGTGTGAACATGAAAACACACCAGTTCACCTGGCGATGGAAATGGTCTCCTGGCACCAAATTCTAGGCAGAATGTACAGTTTTCTAACAACCCAAGAGTTCTGCTTTCACTTATTAAAGGGAGCCTAGTATCCAAGTAGTTTTAAATCTTATTAACATGCTTAAAAGTAAAAAGACACTTCACATTGAATCAAGCATTTGAAATCATTAAGTCTATAGCTCTAACCAAAGGTGATCTTCCAGTGCATATTTCTTTCTATTTGAATAAAATTGAATGCCAAATCTCTGGAAATATCAAGTTTCTCAAAATGCTGAAAGAATCATAGCAACTAATGATAATCAGGGGGAAATGCAGGAAATACATGTCTTGGTCACAGGTTACAGTCAGAGCATCAAACCATCTGGTGTGAGTTTGCACGTGTAGGTCTGCATTTCAGAAGTGGGTCTCGGCTGTGTTTCCCTGTCACGTCCTCAGAGGACACCCTCACCAGATTAAGGGCAGAGGGAAGCGTTCCACCCAGGCCGAGTGGTCCACCTCCTTAAATAATTACGATAGTAATTGCAATCAGGTAAAGGCTAGATGCGGGTGGGGTGACCGAGAGAGAGACTTAAACTGTGATCTGTTGGTTTTCTCTGAAAAAAGGTCTCTGGTGTGAGGCACAAATATCTGGAAACATCCGGAAGACCTGGTCTGGCTGGGGCTCTTCGGGGGCCTGCATCATGGAGCCTGCGCTGCAGCTCTTCCCTGCTTCCTCCACCAGCTGCCGAACATAGAGCTGCTCAACCTGGAGGGACAGTGCACAAGGCCAGACTTGGAGGTGTGAAGTGAGGTAAGGCTTTCTCTGATTACCCCAGTCCAAAGCTATCATTCAGAACCTCCACGTGAGTCCCAAGTGAACCCAAAATAGGCAGATGGAAAGAAAGAGCAAGCAGTATTCCTGCAAAGACTCCTATGAGTACTCTCCCCAGATTGTTCTGCTCTGGCTGAGGTCCAGAATTCCACCATTAGAGTTTCATTCCTTTGACTAGAGTTAAGGGCTAGCAAAGCCTTAATCAGTCACTTAGACCTTAAGACAACTGAAAAGGTGGAATCTTTTTGAAAAAGAGGTTTTGATTTTTTTTAAAACATCAAACAGAAAAGAGTGGAAACACATAGATTGTGAGAGTCCCAGAATTGGAGAAGAGGGCTCAGAGGTAAAAAGAACCTATGTCCCCCAAGTGAAGGTCTCACCAAGGCCTGCCTCTGCACACAGTAGAGTCCCCAGTCTTGGCCACCTGTTCTCCAGCCCAAGTATGAACTGGGTCCGGATGTGCAGGTGGCAAGATCTGGCCACAAGCCCTGCAGCTGCCCGGTCTTACCTGCACAAGAATGAGCTTGGAGCGCAAGGGGGTCATATCTGGAAACTCCTCTCCGAAGCACAGCACTGCCCTGCCGTCAGGGAGCCGGCCCTGGTGGCTATAGAACTGCTGCAGCTCTGTGAAGACACCAGGGGAGGGGGTGGCGTCCCCAGCTCAGGGCCCTCTTTGACACCAGGGGAGGGGGCGGCATCCCCAGCTCAGGACCCTCTTTGACACCAGGGGAAGGGGTGGCATCCCAGCCTCACGACCCTCTCCGGCAGGTAGACTCCTCAGGGCCTTCGCGCCTGAGCTCACACACACCACTCTGCCCACCTTTCCAGGGCCTCCTCCAGGAAGCCCCCAGGAGTGCACTAGCCAGGTGGTAGGAGAGGCCTGATACCAGCTCCAGCCGCTGCCTTTATAGGGAGAGGAGCAAAGAGCTTTGGGGGCACAGGGGAGGGAGCCAGCTGGAAGCTTTGAGGGGAGCCAGGCTGACTGCGGTCACGTTTTGACCTTCCAGGAGGAACTCGCAGAACGGGGTCCAAGCCACACACCTCATAGAGCAGCCTTGGCCACCGGCAGCACTTCCGCGCACGGGTGTGGTCCCAGCACTCAGCGTGTCCACCACGCAGGGACCGCGCCAGATGCCGGAGGTGGGGCCTGCGGCTGCATTTCTAACCGGCTCCCAGGGCGTGGGGACAGCCCACCACAGAGCAGCGGGTGCTCACTTCCTAAATCCTCCGGCAGCTGCGCAAGGCAGCGACCAGCACACTCCACACGCGGGCAAGGGAGGGTCCCCGCGGCACCCGGCCAGGACGTGCCCGCGCTCCAGGGGCAGAGGACACCCGGGAGCAGGCGGGGCCCTCCAGGCTGGGGGCAGCGCGGACGGCGGTACGGACCTCGGAAGAACTGGCTGGTGTCGAAGACCTTGACCACCTCGTCGCGCTCCAGCTTGTTGGGCCCGTCCCGGCCCAGCGCGGCGTTGCCGCTGTAGAAGACGCGGCCCTGGCACAGCCGCTTGACCAGCAGGCCCTGGCGGCTGCTGTGCAGGAGCACGCCGCGCTCCAGGTGCCCGAACAGCTTCCGCGTCACCTGCCTCTGCCGCTCGCTGGGGATGGCGTCCGCGGGCGGGAAGCGCACGAGCTCCAGGCCCTCGGGCCCGTACAGCTTGCCGCCGGGCAGGCCGGGCTGGCTCAGGGACAGGCGGCAGCCGTCAGGGCAGGTGGTGGTGGTCTGGCCCGCCAGCTTCCCCCCATAGTAAAAGCTGATGACCATCTGGGAGAAGGCTGTGGGAAGACGAGGACAGGTCAGCAGGTCCCTTCTGTGCAAACATCCGGAGCCTGCCTTTCTCCCAAACTCGGGCTGGCTTTTTGGGGGCTGTGGTAGTGAACCCCCCCTACTGCTGTGGGACAGCTCCGGCTCAGAGAAGGTTCGAGG